GTTTAACCCTCTCTCAGATAAACCTGTTCATTTTCTTAGCAGTACATGGTATATTCAATACTCTTCTGCAACACCGCAGCTCCAAGGCATCGATTCTCCTTCTGTCCTCCCTAGACATTCTCTAGCTCTCTGACGTATAACAAGTGATTGCATAGACCATGGCCTGTATCAGACACACCTTAGTCTCTAGAGTGGCATCATTGCTCTTCAGTACTCTGGAGAGGTCTCTAACAGCAGACTTTCCCATTGCAATAAGTCTTTTAATTTCCTGGCTACTGGTGCCAAGAATGTTGACTGTGGAGCAAAGCAAACTAAAGCTGTTAACTATCTCAATCTCTTCACCATCCATCCTGATGCTGCCAATTGGCCCAGTAGTAAGAATCTTTGTTTTCTTGATATTGAGCCTCAAGATAAGTGGAGAGCACATAATAGTTCTTCTCTGAACCCTGTACATAGACCAAGAAGTTGTTCAAACAGAACAAAAGAATATTGCATGGCTTAAGAACAGCAAGGTGTATAACAGAGCTGTAGTCTTTCATCATACCTATTCAGTCTGTATGCTTAGGAAATAATACAAGAAACTGAATTATATGAAGAAGAATGTGTCATCAGGATTGAAGAAGACTCATTAATAACACGTAATATGCAGATGACGTGACTTTGCTTTCCAGCAACAAGGAAGACTTGAAGAACTAACACGCTGGTAAACCTCAAAGACTATAGCTTCCAGTGTAAGTACATCTAAACATAGTTTTTGTTGTTGTTAGGTGCCATTGAGTTGTAAACATAAAGAAAACAAAAATTCACACAAGTTCACCAATAAGCAAGATCATGATAGATGAAGAAAAGATTGAAATTGCTGAAGATTTCCTTTTCCTTGGATTCACAATCAATACCTAAGAAAGCAGGAGTCAAGAATCAAATGACATATTTCATAGGGTAAATCCACTACAAAAATAGTAAAGAATCACATGTCGCTTTAGAGACTAAGGTGCACTCAACCCAAGCCACGGTATTTTCAACTCATGTGTATGCTTGTGAACATTGGACAATGAGTAAGAAACATTGAAGGATTGGTGCCTTTGAATTTGGGTGTTGCCGAAGAATATCCAATCTATCGTGGACTGCCAAAAGAACAAACAAATACGGCTTGGAAGAAATGCAGCCAGAATGCCTCTTAGAAGCAAAAATGGTTAGACTTCACCTCAGGTACTTTGAGTCTGGTTTCAGGAGCAGCCAATGCCTTCAGAAAGACTCTGTACTTGCAAAAGTAAGTCAACAAAAGAGGAAGGTCTTTAATGAGAGGGATTTGGCCCAGAATCTGCAGCAGTTGGCTTAAACAAGCAGAGATTGTGAGTACAGTGCAGAATTGAATAAGGCTTTCTTGTGTGGTCCCTGGGGTAGCTAGAACAGTCAGATTCTTTTATTATGTTGGTAAACATTGGAAACAACTAAAATGTAGATAGTAGAGTTGGTAAATTACAGTCTCTTCAAGCAACACAAATGTGACAAAGAATGAGGAAGCTTATTGTGTGACAAGCTGATACAGACTGAACACAGGGAAAAGGCAAAGAACAAAGCAATATCTAATAAACTGCCTTTGATGTAAAAATAAAAATGGAAATATATGCATTATCTCCATATTCTAAGACTATGGAAGGATAATGTCAATATCAGTTAAAGTATGCCGCATTAATAAATAACTTTAAACAAATCTCTCGAGGATTATGCAACAAAATGCATTCCTTGTTTATGATTCATGTCTATATCAGGGGTTGTCAATAGCCTGGACTGCTAAGACATCTTGCTGTGACACTGTGGCTAATGGACCAGGTTCTAAAAGAACTTTGCTGATTTCACGGCAGCAGAAAAAGGACATTGAAATCATGGACAGACTATTAAAATGCTCAATGTGAGCCAACATAGTAGTTTTGGCCTAGATTTCTTTGACTGATCAACTCACTTCTGAGACCACTTCTGGGTTCCAAGAGTCCAGTCTGTCTATCCCTGCAGGAAAAGGTATCACATGTGATCAGGTCTAATTAGGAACAATAGTACAAGTATTCATTAAGAAACTAATAATAGTGATTACTTGTGGGATGAGATTACCCAAATTAGGCAAATGGGAGATAGAAATAACTTTTCTGCGTGAAAACACAGGATAATGATGGGCAAGGTCTAAAGGTGATTAATTCTATAAAGCATAATGCATGAGAATGATTATATGAAACATAATGTGAATAAATAGTGTGAAATACAAAGTATATGAATTTTGTAGGCAAACCAATAGAAAAATTTAAAAGAAGAGTACTTGTGTCTGTGTGAATATATTATCTACTGAAATAAGTCATTGTTTGTTTAATCAGTTACATGTCTCTTGTTTCTCTGACGCGAGTATTAAACACATGTTATTGTTGTTGTTAAGTGCCGTCGAGTCAGAAGTGACTCATAGTGACCCTATGAACGAAAGTTCTGGACACTTCCTGTATAACTTTAGTTCTTTCTCCAGGCTCATAGGGTTTCCAGAGGCAAGCTGTTATGGAAGTGGATGCCACTCCTGCTTCCAAGCTTGTTTTAATCAGGGAGCTTCACCAAACACTGTCCACCATGGGTAACCATTCTCGCATTTGACTCATCAGTGTCACAGTGTTCAACTTCACAGTAACCACGAGTTACCTCTAGAATCCATAAATACTTTCCTGGTAATAAACCTTGCTCAAATGTGTAGCAATACCAGTAACTCAAGGTAGTACAAAAGTTTTGTATCCTCCATTCAAAGATGTGTTGCTGCTGGTGGGTGGGGACCTAGCTCAATACAGTGCCTGAAATGACTCAGTGGGGAGCATCCCAGCCACACAAAAGCTCCCTGAGTGTGGAATACAATGGACTTGAGATGGAATGAACAGATAACAAACCTGAAGCAACTGGCAGTTAAGAGAGCAGTGGGTGAGTAAATCTATGGGAAACTAAGTTTAGTACCAAAAAAGCAAGACAAGTATTAGATCTGGGGAAGAACAGAGGCATGAACTTTAAGGTTAGATACTAAGATCAGTGTTAGGTTAACAGACTTAAGGAAGAAATCAGAGAGAACGAAAGAAAGCTTAAAGCAGTTTTATTAAAAGGGGTCGGGAGGGCGAGCCTCCCAGGAGAGGTTCCTCATTCTGAAGATGCAGAGTGGGGAAGTTGCACCTGAGAACGTGTTGTTGTTGTTGTTAAGTGCCGTCGAGTTGCAGGTGACTCATAGCAACCCTATGAAGGAGAGTCCTCAATGCTTGTGTGTCTCTCATCCTCTCTCCAGGTTCATAGGGTTTCCGCAGGCAAGCTATTACAGAAGTGGATGCCACTCCTGCTTCCAAGCTTGTTTTAATTGGGAAGCTCCACCCCACGCTGTCCGCATTGGGTAACCGACCATTAACACATTTGACACATCAATGTCACAGTGTTCAGCTTTGCAGCAATCACAAATTACCACTGTATGGCAAGTGGACACACTAGGGCTATACAACCTAGAGGAATGTTTGAACAAAAACAATGAATAAAAGCTGTAAAAAAGAATAAAAACAGAATAGAAGAGAGAGGAAAGATCCCTACATTTAAAATAAGACTGCAAATCAAAGAACTATGACGATAGTTGGACAAATAACCAGAAAGATATATAATTAAAATGTTAATTCACATTGTGTGAGAGTAAAATTAGCAAAAAAACCCATAACTAATATATTAAGGTATTTATATTAATGAAAGACTATGTCTGTGGGTGGAGTGATGGAAATGGAAAGGATCTTTTGTGGAAAAAACAATGTATTCAAACTTTGTAAATAAATCAGAGTAAAATAAAAAAATATTTTTTAAAAAAAGAAGTTAAGGAGTAACTTCCTTTCCTGCTAGCTGACAGAACATCTCACAATTGCTGGGCAGCATGATACATGTAACATAGTGTAGGCATCATCTCTCACTATGGACAGAGCCGCAAAAACATGTGACCAGCTTTTCTGAATTTCATTCTGTGGCTCAGATTGTTATTACAGGAGTTTATCATCCCCGAAGCAATGTGCTAGGGGAGGGAAGCAAAGACTGACAGGAAACAAGAAGAATGCTTGAGGGATCACATACAGTCCTCTTTGTATATCATTTGCAGATGCTTTGGAGGACTTCGGGTGGCACGGGGGGGTTAGTTGCTCCAGTATTAACCAAAAAATGAGCAATTTGAACCCATTCAAAGGTACTTCTGAAGAAAGGCGTGATGCCCTGCTTCCAAAAATTCAGCCTTAAAAAAATTACAGTTCATAGACCAATGGTCATCATCAATCAGAGTTGGCTCAATGACGATAAGAATGAGTTTGGGTTCGGCAGTGGTCTTTTCATGGAAATTAAAGATGTCCATGAGATTTTAAGGAGTCCTAGTGACATAATAGCTAAATATTTGTAGCAGCTAAAGGTTCATCAGCTAAGTGAAAGGTCGATGGGCCAAATACAGTATTCTCTCTTAAAGAGACAGAGATCAGCAATCTTTTATTAAGAGTCAAGGTCTCTGTAAACTTTTGCTATAAGACTCTTGTCTGAGAAGGTATTACCAAATGTTTGTTGCCCATCTGTAGGTTTTCTTTTCACCCTGTTGGGAAAAGTTTTTGATGTACATAGAGATTTAATCTTTAGAAGGTCCCATGCATCAATTTTATCCTCTTTAGAGTGTGCATTTCTGGTTGTATTTGGCAGTTTCTTTATACTTTAGATTACTGCTTCTAAACTTGATCCCAGTTTGTCTCTTAAGAACACTATGGTTTGGGGCTTTACTCCCAGGTCTCTGATCCACCCTGAGTTGATTTTTGTGTATGGTGTGAGATGTGGATCCTGTTTAAGAAAAAAAAAAAAGTCAGGGTCTCATAGGTCTAGTAGGGCCATTCTGCTCTGTCCTGTAAAGCGGATACACATCAGAAGTCCACGTGTGTCCACATCATTGCTCATTCTCTCCATTTTTCCCAACTCCCACTGTCTTCCAGTATCACTTCAACCCCTCCCAGTCCATTCTGGTGATGGAAGGTGACGACATTGGGAACATCAACCGCGCCCTTCAGAAGGTCTCCTACATCAACTCCAGACAGTTTCCAACAGCGGGTGTGCGGCGCCTCAAAGTCTCCTCCAAAGTCCAGTGAGTGGTCACCCCGGGGCCCAGCTAAGACTACAGGGAGAGCCCTTCGAGGAAATCCCCCCCCAACTCCCTTTTTTCCCCTTTTATTTCTTATTAATTTTATGTTGGTTTACATACAAAATTTATATACATCGTGTTTCATTCATGTGCGTTGTGTTTCACACATTCCTTCATTTACTTTGTGTCCCATAGCATCATTCCCATGTGTTTTATAACATTAATCTCCATTGATCTTCGCCCACTGCCCCTTTTATGTCTGCTGCCATCCGCTTCACTTTTTCCCTATGAGAGTGCCTCATTAGATCTGTGTTTTCTTCTTAAGCAAATTGTTCTGCTAATTTGCCAATACAAATCCAACTTTCTTTTGTGCCCGATCAGTTGCAGTGGCTAGAAAATACTGTTTTCTGTAAAATCCCTTAGAACGTCATTTTAAGTGGTCTGAATTAAGGTTTGGGGCCTAGTGTTGAACAAACATTTATTATATTAAATTTAATCAACTCAGCTTAGTAAAGCTCCTAAATTGGTGAATATGCAAGGAGAAGTGATGGTCCTTGCCCTCAGTGAACAGAGGTAAAGGAATGAAATCATTACAGAAGCCATTGTTAACAGTTCTACCTTGCTCAACTCCAACACTCTTGACACCAGCAGTCAGGAGAGCAAAACACAAATTGTATTAGGTAAATAAATCTGTGGCCAGGGACCTTTCCAAAATACTGAGAACAAATGATGTCAGTCTAAAGACTAAGGTGCACCTGATCCAGGCCACGGTCTTCACGATTACTTTCTATGCATCAGAGAGCTGGACAGTGACTAAGAATGACAGAAGGACAATCGATGACTTTGAGTTGTGTTGCTACAGAAGAGTCTTGAATATACCATGGACCACCAAGAAAACAAATATGTCTGTCTTAGAGAAGGTGAAACCAAGTTTCTCTTTGGAGGCTGGGATTTTTTAAGCTGTATCTCACATACTTTGGGCATGTGGCCAGCAGCAATAGATCCTCAGAGAAGTATATCATCCTCAGAAGAGTGAAGGGACAACACAGGAGAGAAAGACCCCTGATGAGATGGATTGATACAGTAACTAGAGCAATGAGGTTTGGTGTGTCAGAATTAGTGAGACTGGTTCAGGATAGGGCAGGCTTCAGAGCTGTTGTACGTAAGGTCACTATGAGTCGCAGGCAACTTGACAGCACATAACAACAACCACATATATCACATCTTAGCCACTGCAGGTACTTAGGAAAGCAGGTAGGTGTGGGATCCCAGTGGGATTCCTGGGAGATGAAAGTAGAAGCATCAAACACCTGGAGTCAGGAAACAACTCAGAAAGGGAGAAACATGGGTGGGAAAGATGGGCTTTCTGCCCACCTGAGCAGAGCTCCATTATATTCAGTAAGTCAAGAGCAATGGGGAAGGAACTCCCATCTATGCTTTAAAAGCCACCCCTGGAGGTTGGGGGGTGCGGGGTCAGGAATAGCACGTCCACATCAACTCCATACTGGAAGGAAGATGTTCTCGGCCTGGCCAGTCTGCAGCTCTAGATCAGATTTGTAAACTGGCCATGAAAGAGAAGTTCTCTGGGTTGATGTGGCAGAAAGCTGGAGAAAACTCAGATCAAGAGCAGTCCATAATGTCCCCGACCCCACAAAACAGAATGGCTCAGCGTCAGGTCCAGTTAGATGAGCTTTTCCTTATTAGTCTTCCAAAGAGACATGATAGGACAGGCACCACCATCTAAAGCCCACTCGGGATTTCCAGAACATCATCTAGACCTTGGGACTCCCCACCTCAGCCTGGCTATTTGGATGAGAGGACCAGAAGAGGGTCCCAATGACTCCTACGCGCTGATGAGAGATCAGATCCTCCCAACATTTACTGAGCCCAAATGACAGCCCAGGCATTTGACCCTGACTGTGTGGATCCTAACATTGAGAAGAATGAGAATCCCAGAACACTTCTACGAAACCTAGACCTAGACCGGGAAGCTGATGTCTGAATGGAACGAGAGAACACTGCATTATTTAGAATCAGGAAAGGTGTACATTAGTGATGTAGCCTCTCTCCATACCTATTCAATCTCTATGCTGAGCAAATCATTCAAGAAGCTGGACTTCATGAAGAAGAATGTGGCATCAGGATACGAGGAAGCCTCACCCACAGCCTGCTTGATGAAGATGACACCACCTTGCTTGCTGAAAGTAAAGAGAACTTACAATGTTTACTGCAGGAGACCAAACACTACAGCCTTCGATATGGATTACATCTCAGCATCAAAAGACAAAAATTCTCACCCCTGGACTGCGAAGCAATATCGTGACAGATGGAGAAAAGATTAAAGTTGTCAACAATTTCCTCTTACTTGGATCCAGTCAAGAGATCAGGAGATATGCTGCATTGGGAAAGGCTGCCGGCAGGGACCTCTCCAAATTCTTGAGGAGCAATGATGTCAGTGTGAAGACTAAGGTGTTGCTGATTCAGGCCATGGTTTTTTCAAGCACTTGCTATGCATCTGAGAGCTGGACAATGAATAAAGATGGCAGTAGAAGAATTGATGCCTCTGAGTGGTGGTGCTGGTGAAGAGTACTGAATTAATATCCCATGAACTTCCAAAAAAACCCAAACAGATATGTCTAGGGGGGAAAAGTACAGCCAGAGTGCACCTAGAGTGCAAGGATGTCAAAACTTCATCTCACAAGGTTGGACATGTTGCTAGGAGAGCTTTTCCTTGGAAAGGTGGCCGGTCAGTGAAAGGAGGAAGGAAGACCCTTAATGAGATGGATTGATATAGTGACTGCAGGAATGGGCTCACGTGTGTCAGAAATCATGAGGATGGCATGGGATAACAGGAGAGGGGTTCGGATCTACTCGACTGGATGACATGTAACAACAGCCCTGGTGGTGTAGTAACTTAAGTGTTGTCTACTAACTGAGCAATTGGTAGTTAAATGAACTAGCTTCTTGACAGTTGGAAGATGGAGTAATCTCTCCCTGTTAATATTTACAGCCTCAGAAACCTGGTGGAGAGTGGCCATGAGTCATCATCAACTAGACAAGGGAGGAATGTTGTTTTTATTTGTTTGTTAATTTCATTTATTATTTTAAAGGAGTGCTGTTTGTGCAGCAGTCAAAGCATTCACTAATTATAAGCGCTGTGTGGTTCACAAAAAATTGTGGCCAACATCGAGAAGAATGGGAATCCCAGAACACTTGACTGTGCTTACACAAAACCTATACTTGGACCAGGAAGCAGTCATACCAACAGAGCAAGGAAACATTGCACGGTTCAAAATCAAGAAAGGACTGCATCGGGAAAGCGTCCTGTCTCCATACTTTTTCAACCTATATGCAGAAGAGTTCATTCAAGAGGATGGAATTTATGAATAAGAATGTGGCGTCTTCATAAAGATTCAAGAAAACTCATCAACATCCTGTGTCATGTGGATGACGCAGCCTTGCTTGCCAAAACTGGGGAGAACTTGGAGCATTTGCTGCAGAATGTCAAGGACCAAAGTCTTCAATACGGATCACATCTCAACATCAAGAAGTCAAATAGTCTCACCACCGGGCCAACTGGCAGCATCATGATAGATGGAGTAGAGATTTAGGTTGTTAATAATTTCCTTTTGCTCGAATGGACAATCAGCACTCTTGGCACAAGCAATCAGGAAATCAAAAGTCAAGTTGTTCTGGAAAAATCTGCTGTCAGGAACCTCTCCAGAGTGCTAAAGAGCAGTGATGCTAATCTAGAGACTAAGGTGCACCTGACGGAGACAGTGGTCTTCTCAGTTACTTGCTATGCATCAGAGAGCTGGACAATGACTAAAGAAGAATCAGTGCCTTTGAGGTGTGGTGCTGGAGAAGAATATCAAACATACCATGGACTGCCAATAGAACAAACAGGTCTGTCCTGGAGAGAGTGAAAAACTTGGTCCTTGGAGGCAAGGATTTTGAAGTTATGTCTGACATACTTTGGGAATCTTGCCAGGAGAGAACAATCCTTGGAGAAGGACATTATGCTTAAAAGGGTGGAGGATCAGTGCAGAAGAAGATGACCCTGGATGAGATGGACTAACACAGTGATTGTGGCGATGAGGGTAGGTGTCTCAGAGATAGTGAGATTGCCTCAGCATAATGCTTGGTTCAGAGCTATTGTTCACTGGATCTCTGTGAGTTTATAGTCAACAGAATGGCGTATAACAACAAGAAGTCAGAAATCAGGGCCTTGGATCCACCAACTTCTTTACAGGAGAAAGATAAGGCGATTTGCTTCCTTAAAAATGTTAGAATCGAGTCAAAATCAAGTCGATGACATTGGGTAGATTAACATATAAAGAGAACCTGGTAGTGTAAATGGTTCAACTCTCAGCTGACAGAAAGATGAGTTGTAAGCCATCCAGGGGTGCCTAGACAGGCAGACCTTGAGATCTAACTGCTCCTGAATGTTGCCATTGAGGTCTTGGCTTTTTTTTTTTCAAATTGCAAAACTCACTGCCACTTAGTTCTGATTCTTAGCAACCCCCCAAGGCAGAGGAGGACTGCTGCACAGGGCTCCTAACGCTGGGAATATTAATAGAACTGTGGGGCGGGTTCAGCTGACAGCTCCACTTACAATCCACTCTACCATCAGAGCTCCTCTGACTGCCTCTTTAGAAGTTACTAACTAGAAGTTTAGCAATTCCTTGATGGCTCATATAGAAGATTCCCATTTCTCCCAGAAGCCAGTCTTCCTCAGTCCCTAAACTGCTAGTAGTTTCCATTATGGTAGTTCTGCTGTGTGTGGCTTTGAATTCAAGTGTCTGCTGGCATCCTTGATGACTCCTGGGCCGTCGGGAGGCCACATAAAGGATGAGTGGGGGCAGTTCTGTGTCCACGGCTGTAGGATGGGGGGATTTCCACCACTGGCTTTTCACGCCATGACTGGAGGTGTCCCCCCAGGTGCTTTGGAGAAGACGTCTGCATCAGCATCCCGGACATGGATGCCTACGTGATGGTTCTGCAGGCCGTGGAACCTCACATCACTCTCCATGGTACTGAACGCTTCTGGAGGCCTGCTTCTCAGTTTGAAAGCACCAGAGGGGTGGTCCTCTTCCCAGACATCAAGATTGTGAGCACCTTTGCCAAAACAGAGGCCCCGGGAGACATGAAACCTACAGGTATGAGCGTATACGAGGCTGGGGGAAGGTGGGCCTTCATTTACTAGAGTCATAAAATCGTGCTTCGGGAGAGCAGCACTGCTCACCGTAGCAGAGAAATGTATAATAAAAAATAATAATAGTAAGTAAATGAAAAGTTCTGGAAACAAAATGGTCCAGAGGACAGGAACAGCTTGGGAAATTATGGCACACGCATACAGAAGTGCCTTGACGTTTGAAGATGGATATTGTGCTAAATGGTAAGTGCAAAAGTTAAGATGTGAAATCACATAGTATCTACATATAAAATTATTTCAACCATGTTGTTATTATGTGCTCTCAAGTCACCTGTGACTCATAGCGACCTTATATGTACAACAGCCCTAAATCCTGCTCTGTCCTGTGCTAATCTCACTGTCTCCGACACAGCTCTCCTCATTACCCCAGTCACTGAATCAATCCATCTCATCGAGGGTCTTCCTCTTCTGCACTGTCCCTCCATCCTCCCGAGCATAACGTCCCTCTCCAAGGACTAGTCCCTCCTTGCAGCACGTCCAAAGTATGTTAGATGGAGCCTCAGAATCCTTGCCTCCAAGGAGCAGCCTGGTCTCACCCTCTCTAGGATGAACCAGTTTGTTCTCCTAGCAGGCCATGGTATATTCAACACTCAAAAAACAAACACAAATCCTAGATAGATCCAAACATGTAAACAGGGAGGGTCTCTGAGAAGCATGATGACAGACATTTTGGCTTTTCTTCTTTTTGCCTTTCTGTAATTGTAAAAACATTCAATAATGGTCAATTGTTATTTTGATAACCAGAATAAAAGTTTAAAAAGTAGGAATAAAAAGTATAGCTCTGTCTTATAAAAGGTAAAGTAAAAAGGTAGGTCTCACTTCAGCAATATTATCCTTGGGAAACTTTGAAGTTAATTATGGACAATCTCCTCCTGTACAACTTACTGCCTCTGAGAACCTACTGGAGGGTCAGCTGTGGGTCAGTTCCATCTTGGTGGTGGTACACACACCCCAAATCCAAGATATTTCTAAGAGTTTCATCACTTGGAAAGCTGTTCAGTGAAAGTGAAGTAGTTTGAACCATATCTCATGAAAAAACATTGACCTGAAAGTCTCAATATGTACATGATGTGGGGTTTGGGAGGATGGATGGAGAAAATGGGGAGAGGGTGAAAATAAGGAAGATAAGGAAAAAAGAGAAGGAGAAAGAAGAAGGAAAGAAAGTTGTTGTTGTTGTTGTTATTGTTGTTGCTGATGCTATGTACTGTTAAGCTGTTCATGTCACATAGCAACCATATGCACAGCAGCCTTGAACCCTGAAGGGAAAGAGATGCTTGAAAATCACCCATTTCTGCTGCTTCCAAGAGCACATGTCCTTTCCACTCCTACCCTTCAAAAGAGGCTGCTAATCTTGTGCCGTTGCCAAGAACTCTGAGTCCCCGAGGGCTGCTTCTATTATAATAATCCTAATTACCCAGTGCCTTAACCACCCTGGTCCCTGGTGAATGAGGTGTCTGGTGAGGGAGCCATTGTTAGCTCATAAAATAGATGTGTTTTACTATCTGTCTGGGCAAGGTGATTTCCTCTTTACTTGCTGAGGTGTGTCAGGTGGTGCAAACTGTCTCGAACCCTGTCCCCTTCGTAGCCTCAGACTAAGTGAAAAAGAAAGGGACCTCAACCTCTGTGGTTGTGGGCCGGGAAAAAGCATGTAAATGGGCTTTCCCTGACACCAGCATGTGGGGGAACAATGATGGGGCCTCACATTTCACTGTTTATGAGAGGTGCGTGCAGGGCACCACAGCTATTCAGAGAATTTCAAATATTTTCTCTTGCTGTTGTTAGAATTGTCATTATTCCGGTGCCTCAAACAAGCAGGCTATTAGCATTTGCCACTGGGTGCTGCTCTGTCTCCGGGCCCCACAGATTCATTCTTTGTATTCTGTCAGTACAAGCAGCCTTCGATCTTGACATGCTCCACCCTTGTTTAAAGTTCTGCCCTGACAAATGCTTTTTTTTTAAAAAAAAAAAGTAATGGGGTTTTTATATTTTTTTTCTTTTTTTATTATTATTAATTTTAATGAACATTTACAAAGATTTTGGATTTCCATTAATTCATTGTTTAAGAGGTAAACAAATTGTCAAAGAGGAGGTAAAATTATCTTTCTATACAGTGAATAGGGTTGATAGAAAGAGAATTGATGCCTCTGAGCTGTGGTGCTGGAGAAGAATGTTGAATATACCATGGACTGCTAGGAGAACAAACAGGTTCGTCCTGGAGAGGGTGAAGCCAGAATGTTCTCTGGAGTCAAAGATTCTGACGCTTCTTCTGACATGTTTTGGGCATGTTGCAAGGAGGGACTGGTCCTTGGAGAAGGACATCATGTTTGGCAGAGTGGAGGGGCGGTGAAGGGGAGGAAGACCTTTGATGAGATGGATCAATTCTGTGACTGGAGTGGTGGGAATGAGTGCGTTTGAGATGGCTAGGTTGGCACAGGATAGAAGAGCGTTTAGAGCTCTTGTACATAGGGTCGCTATGAGTCGCAAGCAACTCCATGGCACCTAACAACAACAACATGCAGATGATATGGTAGTATACTTAGAAAACCCTAAAGGCTCAGCAAGAAAACTGCTGGACACACACCTGTAGGGAGTTATTTGCCTTGTTAAGCCGGTGTCTCTGTGGCAATTGGAATCCACCAGAAGCTCTACAGAGCAAGATGGGTAATCTCTCGTGCGATTTAGCCTCAGAAAACTTGCTGGAGGGTCAGCTATGAGGCAGCTTCAATTCAATGGCGATGAGAGTTGAGTCTCCAAAGACCTGGAAGGTCTCTCTTCCCCACTGTTCCTCTTTAGGGCTGCCAGAGAACTCCCCTGTGAGATTCCCTGCCTTCCTGGAAGGTCGCCCCACTGCCATCAGACAGCCAAGGTTGCCTCCTGTGTTATTCTCCCAAATGGTGTTCCTTCCTTCTAACGTTTTTCAGTCCTTGTGATCTGTTTCCTAAACCAGACCAGAGAGGTCTAAATGCTCTGCCGTGACTCGTCGGCCTCTGAGCTCCTGGGTCCTGTACACTCCCTCCATCACCCCAAGAATGAGGGGAACTGTAGATTCAAGATAATGCCTGTCACACAAGCACAGAACAACAGTGAGGAATGTGACTTGGTGACATGTTCCCTAACAGCTGAGGGGACAGTCGGTCATGTAGAGGGGATAATTACCATGGGAAACCAGTGTGATTTAATCCAACTTGATAGTTGTAGTTGTTGTTATGTGCTGTCGAGTAGTCTGCAACTCATAGCAACCATACGTACTGCACTTCTGAAGCCTGCCCTGTCCTGAGCGAGTCTCACTGATTCTGACACACCAACCCCCCTTGCCCCAGTTTCTACATCAATCCATCATATCTGGAGTCTTCCTCTCCTGTGCTGTTCCTCCACCCTTCCAAGCATGATGTCCATCTCCAAGGACCAGTCTGTCCACTTCCTAAACAACATGCCTCTGGAAACTCTATGAACTTTGAGAAATGGCAATGGGTATAGAAAGGCTTCAGGTATTTTATTCACAGGGTTGTTATGAGTCATGCTCGACTCGATAGCAATCAACAACCACCATTGCCACTAGCAGACTTGGCTTTAAGTGTTTGTCATGGTAGCTGTAGATTTTGCTAACAGATTTTGATTGGCAAGCATTTAAAAATTAAGCACGCAGAGTGGTATTTATAATACAGATCTGTTGTTGAAGGTAGTACTTCAATGTGGGACTGCTAAGCTCTGTTTCTCATGGAATTACTTAGACATCCACTGTGGCATTTGGAGTCTTAAAATCAGGCCAGGACAATTAGTGTGGCCAACTTGCTAATGTGAATCTTGGGGGATGTAGTTCCTCAATTATTGAAACACATTGCCAGTCCAGTTCCATCTGAGTAAGATGTATTAACAACTGCTTCATTCCAGTCCTTGGATTAGACACTTCTCAATGACTCTGAAGAAATAAACACACATACACACAATGATCACATATAGAAAGAGCTAAGAACATGTAGTTGTCATTGTATGTCTTCGATTTAGAACCAACCCATAGCTGACTCCCCAGTGGCTTTTCAGAGACAATAAATCATACCGGAGGTGACTGACCATCCTTCTCCGATAGAGCAGCTGGTGGATTTGAACCACATGCCTTTGGGATTGCAGTGGGGCTTCTTATCACCAGGCCACCAGGGTGAAGGGACATTTATCTCTGCTGGCAAAACAAGAGCTATTGTTTATTGAGCTCCTACTTAATGCCAGACATTGTTTTCAGTAATCTTAAGATGCCTGTGATTTTAATGAATTAAGAAAATCTATGCTTAATAATTTTCCCAACATGATAGCCAGAGTTGGCATTCCAGTTCACATCTGTTTGAGTACCAGTGATCATCCCACGAATTCATGCTACCCAGCATCAGGTCTAGCCATTGTCCTAACCAATAATACTAAGAGTGTACACTTCGACATCATGTACAAGCTGTAAAGGTGGTATCCAGGGTCTCAACCGTGGTTCAATAATGTAGAGAAAGATCAGTGGGAGCTGTGGTCTGAACCCTTGCACATGGCTATTAGTTTCCGTGTGTTTGTCATCGCACAGCCCCCAAGTCCACAGTCCTGGAAGAAATGCTTCACAACTTAGATTTCTGTGATATCTTGGTTCTTGGAGGGGACTTGGATCCAAGACATGAGAGCTTGGAGCTCAACCACAGTGAGCTTCACCAGCGCCACCTGGACGCCACCAACTCCACTGCAGGCTACTCCATCTACGGTAAGTCTGCGCATGCGCTCATTCCCCGTGGCCACTTGTCAGAATTCACTTCTTCCAAGGAACCTTGAGTGTGATGGCTGTTCTGTCCCATTTGGAGATGCAGAAAGAAATCTTAAGTGCCTTAAGAACCTGACCCCAAAGCATAATTTCTGTACCCTCTTTTGGTGAGTTATCCCAACATCCTAAAGTCCTGTCCCATATTCCCATCTCCAGGGGCAATCTGTGGCACTAAATGGATGCCATCTCTCACCACGTGTGATTTCCGCAGAAGTGACAGCAATGTTGGGCACACTAACGTCAAACATTCTGGGCAGGGCTCAGTCCACAGAAATGTCACGGATCAGTTCAGCTGATCATTGGAATTTTTGCTTGTGTGTATGTTGTCTGTGAGCCCTTGTGGCCAAGTGTGTAACATTGTGGGCTGTGACGTCAACAGTTGGAAGCCCCCAACCAGGAGGTCAGCAGTTGGAATCTCCCAGCCTCTCTACAAAAGAAAGATGGGCAGTCTCCTATAAAGAGTCATAGTCTCAGAACCTTGATGTGGGTTCACTATGAGTTGGAATTGACTTGACAGTGTGCATTGTTGGCCTGTGAAAAACTCAGAGTCTAATCTAGCTAGCAGGAGTGGCATCCACTTCCTAAATAACATGCCTCCAGAAACTCTATGAACATTGATAAATGTTGATAGAGAGGGGCTTCAGGCCTTTTGTTCATAGTGGCATCTGCTTCCTAAATAACATGCCTCCAGAAACTCTATGAACATTGATAAATGTCAATAGTTGCAGAGGGGCTTCAGACCTTTTGTTCATAGGGTCGCTATGAGTCATGCTCAACTCAAAGGCAAGAAACAACAATAGCAGCAGTCTATATAGCATATATTTGTTGTTGTTATTCCATCAAGTCAGACCCAGCCCATAGCTGACTCTCCAGTGGGTTTTCAAAGGCAGTAAATAGCTCTGGAGGAAATTGCCCGACCTCTGCCATGGAGCAGCTGGTGGATTCAAACTGCGTGCCTTTGAATTGGCAGCACAGCTCCTTACCACTAGGCCAGGAAGTCCATAAGCCCCAGCCCACTCCCTTTGGCCCCTCTTCCTCCTCTTCCTCTTCCTCCTCATCAGTTGTGGTTTCTCCACACAGGTGTGGGTTCCATGAGTCGCTACGAGCAGGTATTGCACCACGTCCGCTACCGCAACTGGCATCCAGCTTCTCTGGAGACCCGACGATTCCAGATCAAGTGCTCGGAGCTCAATGGGCGCTACACCAGCAATGAGTTCAACCTGGAGGTGAGTCAGGCCTTTCTGTTACTGGGAAAACCTAGACTCATGAGTTCATGATTTCATTCATTCCAGAGGACAGTGGCAATTGTCCCGCCTGCCACTCCTGGTCCACAGCAGCTCTGCCCCTGATCCTTGCAGGTCTGTGTTCTCCATGAAGTCAGAGTCTCAAACAAGGAACATGTCAACCATCTGATCGTGCAGCCTCCGTTCCTGCAGTCCGTCCACCATCCAGAGTCTCAGAGCAGTATCCGGCGTGGTTCAGGTGAGGTGCTTGCAAGAGAGGCCTGAGGAGATCAGGTGGTTTGGGGGATTCAAGAAGATCCGTATGGTGCAGAGGAAAATAAAACCTGCCTCTGAAGCCCTTGATCTTCACAACCAGACCCATAATATGTGTAACATACTGCAGAAGTTTGTGTAAAAGACTAGGGCAAAATTTTGCTGGATCTTTCAGACCTAATTCAAAGCTCCGTCCTGCATAAAACGTACCCTGGACCCCTCATACACTCATGCACAGACATGCACGCACACCATACTGCAGAGCTCCTGTCTGACTACTTGCCCTGCTGTCCCTGCCTTGTGAGCACTGTGTCTATTCCTATGAAATGCCAACATGTCAGGTTTTGGATGGGTGGTTGTTGCTGCTGTTATATGTCATCGAGTCAATTGAGACTTATAGCAACCTTATGAACAGCAGACCTGAACCTTGCCGTGTGGTTGTGCCATCCTCACCATTTCCGGTAAATTCCTGAGCCCATTGCTGTAGTCACCATGTCAATTCAGCTTGGTAAAAGGCTCCTTGGAGGCAAGGATTCTGGGGCTTCATCTGACATACTTTGGACAAGTTGTGAGGAGAGACCAGTCCTTGGAGAAGGACATGATGCTTGGGAGGGTGGAGGAACAGTGCAGGAGAGGAAGGCCCTCTATGAGGTGGATTGATTCAGTGACTGGGGTAATCGGGATGAGAGTGTCAGAGAGTTGCAATTGGCATAGGACAGAGCAGAATTTAGGGCTATTGTACATAGGGTCGCTATGAGTCGCAAGTGACTCAATGGCACATAACAACAACAACAACAACATGTGGACCCTCGACCTTTCGAAGTATAATGTCCATCTTCAAGGTCTGACCCTTCTAACAATATGCCTAAAGTTTATGAGATGAAATTTCACTATTCTTGCCTCCAAAGACACCTTGGTCACACTTTGTCCAAGACAGCTCTCTTAGCAATCCATGAGATATGTGTATAGCGGCGTGCCTGGAAGAAGTCAGTGGAAGAGAGATGAAGTTTAGAGTGATAACTTTTATTCAAGCTGAGCTCCCAGGCAAGTTCTCTATTCTGAAGAGACAGAGCAGAGAATTTGCAACCTTAGGAGATTGGGAAGGGTCTTCAGGGAAGAAAGGGAGTTGCATTCCACTTCTTAATTTAGGTCCACGGTTGGTTGGTTCAGCTGGGCAGACAAGGTCATTTGCTCTTCTTATCAGCAGTAGGCAAGACCATCCACGTTTGAATTCTGAATTCTTGTTCTCCCTCCTGACCCCCTTGCCCAGGCCTAACAACATGCAGTACTCTTCTCCAACACCACAACTCAAAGGTGTCTATTCTTCAGTCATCCTTAGTCATTTTCCAACTTTCAGATACATAGCAAGTAACTGAAAAGGTCATGTCTTGGGTCAGGCACAGCTTAGTCTTTAAAGTGGCATCATTGCTCTTTGGCACTTTGGAGAGGGCACCCCCCCCCCAATATGGGTAAAGAGCAAGGCAGAGAAGAGAATCAGGAATCACTGAGCCCCTATTATGTGCTTAGTCATGAGTTTGAAAAGTCACATAGGTTGTTTCATTTGCTTCTCACAAGTAAATTAAATACCTCATCAGACTGTTGTTCTTGTTGTTAAGTGCTATCAAGTCAACTACAACTCACAGTGACCCCAAGCACCACAGATTGAAACCTTACCCTCTCTTGTGCCATCCTTAGAATGGATAGGAATTACTAAGTCCATTATTTAGATTAGATGGTCATATAGGTGATAAGCAGGGCATAGTGGATAAAGAGTTGTGTGGCCAACCCCAAGGTAGATAGCTGCTCCCAGGGAGAAAGATGGGCTACATCCTAGGGCCAAGGGAGTTACAGCATCACCGTGTCACCTATGAGTCAGTCCCAACAGGGCGGCAATGATTCTCAGGACTTTTCTTTGATTATTATGTAGATGATAAACCAGAAGCTCAGCTAGAATAAGTTGCTGACCTATCGTGTCACAGCCAGGAAGTTTTTAACCTTTATCCAGAAGCCATCTCGTTTATGCCTCCTCCCGGGAAAAAGTCAGCCGGCTGTTCTGATGCCATGAATGATTCCTCCCTCATTTCAGTGGTCCCCAGCATTGCCACGGTGGTCATCATCATCTCCGTGTGCATGCTTGTGTTTGTCGTGGCCATGGGAGTGTACCGGGTCCGGATTGCCCACCAGCACTTCGTGCAAGAGACTGAGGCTGCCAAGGAAGCAGAGATGGACTGGGATGACTCTGCGCTGACTATTACTGTCAACCCCATGGAGGTGAGTCCCACACAAGGGCTCGGGGCCTGGGGGCTGAATGCCTCTGCCTCCACCTAGATCAACCCTTCTTGTGCTCCTGAACCCCAGACAAGCCAATACTCCTCCCGGAAACCTTGCCCTAAATATCCCAGGCCTGTTTGTTGTCCCTTCTCTAAGCTCCTTCAGTCCTCTCAGCCTGCAGGAGCCAAACTCTCCTAACATCTGCCTTTACTGATTGAGAACATATGAATTCTCTCCTCTCACAAACAAATCCAGAAGTATCTTACGACAAGCAGCCATCTGGTGCCGACCCTTTGCTTCTGCTGTATTGCTTCATTAAGAACTAAATCGTGATTTGTTATTGTATTGTTACATACCTTCAAGTGAGAAGCGATTCGTAGCTGACCCTTCCAGAGGATTTTCTGAAGCAGTAAATCACATGGGAGGAGATTGCCTGTCTTTCGCCCACAGAGAAAGTTGCTGCATTCAAACAGCACGTCTTTGGATTGCCAGTGCTGTTCCATTCCACCAAGCCGCCAGAGCCCACTGCCCCAAGAACACAGTATTAGGGTCTTGATTACGAGAAACTCTAATCCATAATACCCAGAGGTCACTTCAAAACTCATAATAAGTTAAAACAACAACAAAAAAAAGCCCCTCCATTTACTAAACACTCATTTGGCCAAACATCATTTGAAATCAGTCTCTCTCTCTCTCTCTCTCTCCCCCCCTCCCTCCCTCTCTCTCTCTCTCTTTCTCCTCCTCCCAACTCTTTCACTCTCACTCTCTCTGTCATCTCTTCATCTTTTCAAAAGTCAGCAAAGCAAGAGTAATAAAGCTCACATACCAACTCTTAAACAGGCTGAGAGACAGGATGTCTCAATGTTTGCAGAGCCAATGTACAAATTCAGGACAGTCTAATGCTTAAGCTCAAATAATTTCAGTAGCCAGCGTCCCCCGCAATCTGTCCTCACGTGCTCCAAGTCCCCATCCTAAGCATGCCGAATCCCAAGAAGAATCACTTACCTCAAGCCCTTGGGTATGCTAACAGGTGCTTGGTGTGTGGTAGAGATAAGTAGGAATGGGAGCAGATCAGGAGTCACTAGAAACAATAAATTAAGCCCCGACCTTAATCTTAGTTACCCACCCGCCCGCCAAGGGTGATCTCATGCAAATTCCAAAGTTGCCATGCTCACACAGCTCAATTTCTTTGAGCATGTGCCATGCTTGTAGCAATGAGTTCGCCACCATGGAAATTCCAGCATATCTGCCCTCCCAGAGCTGAGCTTTGATGAGTGTAGGAAACAATGAGGCTGGCAATTCTGTGGCAGGAGGCTCTGCTGGAATTTACTGCTGAGGCAAATGATAAGCACTTTGAATCTGCCAGATGTTCCTTGGAAGAGAGGTGGGCAATCTCCTCCCACATGACTTACGCCTCAGACAACCCACTGGAGGGCCAGTGGTGGGTCGCTTCTAACTCGATGCTACACAACAACAACAACAATAACACTTCCAGCAGCTCTCTGAAGACAAGGCTTTGTGTGTAACCAAGAGTCAGTTGGGAATGTAAACAACCCAGGAGGCCAGAGTAGGGAGGCCCAGTGATGCTGGAGTGTTTACAGAAGCCACCTTGGAAGAGATGGGTCTGAGCAAGACTTTAAAGAGTGGGAAGGCTTTTGGAAAGGCAGGAGGGAAAAAGAAAGTGCTTCTTAGAGGGGATGGAAGCCATGAGGGCCTGTATCATTATCGTGTCCTGGTTCATCACTTCAAATCATGAAACCAAAAACAAGCTTTGTCTGGGGACAGTTCATAACCACCAATATACTTGGGATGAAAGTGATGTAATTAGAGAAAGGTGGGGTAGAGTTGGAGGGCACAAGTCAGGAGGTGAAGGGTGGGGTCGGAGAAAGTGGCAACCAGGTATCTTTCTACACCTTTTTTTGCATGGCAACACACACGAGTCTTGTCTTAAAAAGGCATTCTGCTCCGAGGAGCAGCGAATATTCCCACCTGTGTGCTCCGGAGGATGACCAATGGTTGGTGTTCTGGAAGTGGATTGCCAGTTCTTGCTTCCGATGTGCTTCTGGGTGAACTCAAACCACCAACCTTTCAGTTGGCAGCCAGGCTGACGCAAGGATCCCTAGACCTGGAAAACTTAATGTAGACAGATTCAACACTCCTGGCGACTGAGGCAGTTCCAACTCACAGCAACATGCCAGTGAATTGCCAAGGCTTTCAATAGCAATAGCCCATTTCTTACACACAGAATTGCTGGTAGGTGCCAGCTGCCAAAGGGGCACCGCTCTGGGATTTTCAGCACAACTCGCAGTGGCCTATGCCACCAGAACACCCATAAATAGACTGTTGTTGCTGTTGTTGTTGTTGTTGCGTTCTGTCATGTCGTTTTTTTACTTATTGCCACCCTGTTTGGAAGCAGGAGTAGCATCCACTTCCTAAATAACATGCCTCTGGAAACGCTATGAATTTTGATAAATATCAATAAGCCTTTTTTACACAGGGTCGCTAGGAGTCATGCTCAACTCAAAGGCAATTAACAACAACAACATGCACAGTAGCTCTGAGCCCTGTTCCATCCGGAGCCTGTCTCACTGTCTCTGATATCTCTAATCTCATTATCTCAGATACTTTGTCAATCCATCTCATCCAGGGTCTTCCTCTCCTGCGTTGGCCCTCCACCCTTCCAAGCATGATGTCCTTCTCCAGGGCCTGGTCCCTCCTGGCCACGTGCCCAAAGTATGTGGGATGGAGCTTTAAAATCCTAGCCTCCAAGGAGAAACTTGGTTTCACCACCTCAAGGATAGATCTGTTTGTTTCTTGGAACGTCCATGGAGTGTTCAACGCTCTTCTCCAGCTTCGCAGAAGCACACTTTGATCTGAAGGGGACACTACATGACAGATCACATTGGTTACAATTTCCAGGGCTGAAAACCCAGAACATTTTGCCTCGAGCTCATTTACTGCTGTTATGATTTTGTTTTGACTCCTCTGGCTTCTCTTTGACCAGCAGACTTGTTTTCATAAAAAGCTTAAAGAGGAAGAGTTCCATGCAGCCATAAATGCCAGCTTAACGGTGGGGGGAACCCAAGTACCAAGTGCCTTCAGCTCCACTCTCATGAATATACTCTTCTCTCCCTGAAATCCAGAAACACGAAGCACCGGTGCGAGGGGAGGAGGAGACAGAGGAAGAGGAGGAAGAGGAAGTAGAAGACGACGTCAGCTCTAGCGACTCAGAAGGCAGCGAAGAGGAGGATGTGGAGGAAGAGATGGGCCGAGGCAGACACGAGCAGAGTCGAGTGAGGCAAGCCCAGCTGGAGTGGGATGACTCCACCCTCCCCTATTAGTGGCCCGACCGACCAACTGCTCTCAGCCCACGTGTGTCCCCTGTGTAAACCCTCGCCTGACGTCTGCCTGACTCTGTCACACTTCGCCTCTGGTTCCTAGGACAGGTCTGGCGAGGCCTTCCCCAGCCTCCTGGAGCACACCCTTTACTCTCTGGGTACCTCTCATGCCCCAGCCCTGCAGCAGTCCCAAGCAGGCCATCATCAGTGGGGACTTCAGGTTGGGCTTCATCCTGAGCCCCCCCACCCCCACTACTCCAGCCCTGGGTTCACCCAGCGTCCTGTCACCCAGTTGCAGAGTTCCACCTTTGCTTTTTTTTGCAGGGGAGAGCCCCCTCCTTCCTGTCACTTACAAGCCCTTAACTCTTGACTGACCACATGTACACCCAACCAAATATCTCCCTCCACATAGACTGGCCAGTTCTCCTTACACTGTCCTTCAGGCTGCCTTATGCAGGGAAGGTAGCTGAACACCACACACTTAAGGTCTTATTATTGAAGATTTGTTGCCAGCCCTTGTTGATACAGAAATCACAGAAAGAGCTTCACATGGGGAAGTTTGTAGGAACCTGCACACACACACACACACACACACACACACAGGTTGGGAGGGCCTCTCCTTTTGCTGTAGTTTTAGACCAAATAAGCTTCTCTAAAAAGTCAAAAAACAAGAATACTTATTTGGTCACCACAGGGCCTGTTCCCAGCCACACTGCCTGAGCTGCGCTTGCCCGTCGGCTGAGAGTGTTCACCGCAGGGACTCAGGACCCAGGGAACATTGCTCATTGTCCAGGGCACAGGCTCACTCTCGGGAGTGAGAGGTAGGAACAACGGACAGCAGGTTGGTGAGAGGCGATAGGGAAGATGTCATTACATCTTCGGGCTTCGGGAAGGTTGCAAACCAGGGAAACGGGGATGGGAGTGGCCGGCTGAGCTTCCTCTGGACTACACACCTGTGTGGAGTTGGGAACGCTCCCCACCACCTAGTCTCACACCCCCTTATATCCTGTTTTGTATTGTTTTCCTTGAGGTGGGGGGGAAACCTAAAAACAAAAAACAAACCACAAAACATTTCTTTCAGCTGTTTTAGAACTCGAGCATGAGTTATTCTGGGTCTAAAATGAAAGTTTGGAAATGTGAGTGGCAGGAATTAGAAGCATCTTTGCAAGGACAGCTTCTTCTTATCATAGAAGGTGCAACCCTTTGCATCGAGGGCAAATACATCCCAAACTCAATTTCTTTCTTTCTTTCTTCTTTTCATAAGGAAATCTTTTCCATCTGTGTCCTAACCTGGACACCTTGTGATAAGAATTGTTGCCATAGTAACTAGTCTGTGATCTTTTATGACCAACAGACCCACTGGCAGGAATGAAGCCTGTTCTAGGACTTCCATGAGGCTTTGAGGTTGTCTTTGTCTCAAATGTCTTTGTCTTCATGGGGATCAACTTTGCCCTCAGAATAGACAATCAGTTCCATCCGCCCAGCCTTGACCCCTGCCAAATCCATCCCACACTGGATTGGCAGAGGCACAGAGCTAGTCGCTGGTCAAAGTGAAATCCTTGAGACGAAGGAAATTCAGCAGTTGTACATTCAGGTCCCTGTATCATCAAAACAGAGAGAAATGAAGATGAGAAGATGCTCCAGTCTGTCCCTCACTCAGGAAGGACGGTGGCAGCTCTCTGCGTTCTTCTGATGTAGGAGAGACCTTTTATGCAGCCTGTTGCCCCTTTCCTAAAGCGCAAGTTTGCTTCTGTTCCCTCCATGGAGCCTTCTCACCCTCCGTCTATAGTTAGATGTTTCTGTGATGAGTGTTCAGTTACTGTGTCTGCTCAGAAAATCTGACACAGAGGCTCAGATATTAGGTCTGTGCAAAGTCCGCACAAAGAGGCTGAGTCTGTTCTATCCATTCGTGAGCATGAGAGACTAGACTTCTCAGCTTCCATCGCGGCCACCTCTCTGTCGATTTAGGTACATACGTCCACTCACCTAACAGGGCTGCTCTTCTACGACGTCCTCCTCTGTGCTAAGAATTCCCTGGAAGGTTGTATGAACATGAGGACGCAGAATAAGATCAGCTCCTCCCCTGAGAAAGTTAACACACTATGGAGGGGAGATAGTCATAGAAATGATCCAGAGGAAAGTGAAGAGAATGGGAGATGGGTCACACGAAACAGTGGGGCACATTCATAAACTCAAATGACACTCTTCGCTTTGTAAGGCAAAAAAAAAAAACACTAGGAGAGGTATGCATTTTATTCTCACTGACAGAAGTAGACGCTCCTATAAATTCTTCCAACCAAAATAACCTCTTTTGATCAGGCAGTGTCTTCACGTCTGCAAAAATAAAACCTGTCAGATCGGTTAGTCCTGACAGTCTCTTTATTTAAATAAAAAGAGATTCTTCAGCCAGACATTTGCAAACTAATTAAATTCTTCAGAAATTATAGCAGTAAAGTGAACACTTTCTAAGTTTAAAAGCCCTGGTGTTTAAATTACATTTTAATGTTAACTATCTAAACCCTCAGCTTCCTCTCCAAGGTGTTAAGAGCAATGATGTCAATTTAAACACTAGGGTGTGGCTGATCCAAGCCATGTTGATATTGTTGTGTACTATAACTGACCCATGAATGACCCTCAGGGTTTTCAAAGGCAGTAAATCTGGAGGAGAATTCCCATCTTTCTCCCAAAGGGCAGCTAGTGGATTCACAATTACTTGCTGTGCATCTGAAAGCTGTACAATGAGTAAGGATGACAGAAGAACAATCAATGCCTTTGATCTTGGAGAAGAGTCTTGAATATCTCATGGATTTCCAAGAGGAAAAAAAAAACAAAACGATCTGTCTTGGAGAAAGTAAAACCAGCACGCTGCTTGGAAGCAAAGAGGGTAAAGCCTTGTCTCACATACTCTGGGCTTGTTTTTCAAAGGGACCAGTCCTTGGAGAAGGACATCCTGCTTGGAAAGGTCAACATAAGAGAGGAAGACCTTCCACATGATGGATTGGTGCAATGGGTGTAGCAGTGGGTTCGCGCACATCTGAGCTGGTGAGGAAGGCACAGAATAGGATAAGATTCAGATCCACCGTGCAAAGGGTCGCTGTGTGTCACAGATGATTTGGCAGCACATAACAACAACAAAAATTATTTATGAGAACACTCCCTTCTAGGGAGTCTTTCAGATTGGTCCAGGTGGAAAACACCATTTCTCAGGTTTGTTAGCTGCCTCTGATGCCGTGTTACTTATTCATGGTGAGAGAGCTGTTTGGAGTATTATGAGTATCTTTATGTTTTCCAAGATTCATGTAAGGACACAGATGAGAGTGTCAGTTGGCTAGGGCAACAGAGAGGAATCCTTTGAGGAGGCCTTTGGTAACTTGGCATGGCTTGGTGACTACACTCATCTGTAGAGGAATAGATGGCCTAGTAGCAAGAAGCTGTACTGCAATCCCAAAGGCACGCGGTTTGAGGCCACCAGCCACTCCACGGAAGAAGGACGGGCAGTCTCCTTCCATGAGATTAACTACCCCTGAAAACCTGCTGGAAGGTCAGCTGTGGGTCAGTTCCGACTCAATAGTACACAACAACAACAACAACAAGAGTGCTGACAATAACAAGCAAGAGCTCTTTCCCTCACCTCTTGCTATGAGAGGTCTACTCCTTATGCGAGCTCAAAATGTGAGGCCCTAGGTTAGTACTTGGATTGAGGAGGGGCATCCGCTTCTGTCATAGCTTGCCTCCGAAACCCTGTGCTGTGAACCTGGAGAGAGGATGAGAGACACACAAGCATGAGAACTCTCCTTCATAGTCCCCTGCGACTCGACGGCACTTAACAACAACAACAACAGGTTAATACTATTGTATTCACCTTATCAATTCCCAATACCCTACTTATCAACATGGGACCAATCCAAACTAGAACTAGAGCTCTTGAGTTGACTTAAATGCCCTGCAACTCTGTAACACAAAGTACAACTATCCCATAACTTTTCTAAGGCTACGATGTTTATGAAACCAGACTTTCTGGAACAGTCTTCTTCCCATAGAGCTGCCGGTGAGCTCAAACTGTAGACTTTAAAATTGTCATTTGAGCTCCTTTACCCACTGCACTATCGGGGCTCCTTAGATGGAAGGAGTTATTTAAAAGGTAAAGAATATGGAAGGAATTTCATCACTTGCCCCCCACTTGCTGTTTTGACCTCAAGTGAAGCATGTCTTTAATCAGTCCAGCATTTTCCGGCTTCCATATGACTAGTAACCTGTAACCAAAATTCCAGATAACCTAGGAAACAATAGGCAGGTAGATGCAGGCTCGTGCCAAGGAGGAAATGCTGACTATTTAGGCTACAGGCACGTCTATTCCTTTCTTATCTTGTCAAGGTGTCGGCCAGCCTGTGCAGTTTAGGGCTTGAAACCTTTTTGGTAATTCAGATGCCAGAAAGGAGGAGAGAATTGGAAAAGGCTAGTCCAGGGGTTGTTTTTAAGGGCTACTGAAAATATATATTCTGGAAGATTTAATATTATGACATAAAGGCCACCTAGATACCAGAACTATGATTTTGAATGGGATCCAGTTGAACTAACACTTTCCTGATTATACCCCATCATTCTATAGAGCAGAGTATGAGAATATCTCTCTCTGCTTGGAACACGGACTGTACCTGGTGGGCATCCCAGAGGGTTCCTGGTAGAAAGCAATGCCTTCCATTCCTAGCCACCAGAGGGCAACAGACCTTTTCTGTGAAAGAGAAAATAGTAAATATTTTATTCAGCCAGACACGCATCTCTGTCACAAGTATTCAACCCTGCATTGTAGCGTAACAGTCATACACAATACATAAATGAGTAATGTGTCTGGGTTCCCGTAAAACATTATTTGTGGATAATGAGGTGATAGGCAATTTGATTCCTATAATTTTCACATACCATGAAATTTCATTCTTCTGATTTTTACCTTCAGCTATATGATAATATAAAGACCTGTTACTGTTAAACAAGATTATAGAAATTAGATGAAGCCCAGATTTGGCCCACAGGCCATCATTTGCTAACCTGTGCACAG